GAAAACCACACAGGACCCCGAATAATATTGTATATATAGAAGTTATATTGAAATTTTGGATGGCGAAATAAAAAAAGTGAAAGAAATAAAAAAAAAAAGTTATATTTGTTGATCGGATAACTTATACTAAAATAAAGTTAAATATTGTCACTTTTTCGTGTTAGGGTTATAGGAAAATAACTTTTGGTTTGTTAGAATTTTCTTTAAATAGCTCTAATAAAAAGTGGATATAATTTGTAAAAAGTAGTTCGGGGTCCTGATCATATCCCTATTGCACATGCCAAGGCGAAGTCAGCAAAATGCGCATCCAATTCAACTACTCGCGGATATCCCTTTCCGAGACGAGATCATCAAGGGCACGAGAAGTCTGACAAAAAGTCACCATCCCGACTACACTCCAAAAAAAATTATTTGAAGTATACTTCAAAACTTACTTTTTTACTTTTCAAAAGTCCGTGAATAACATTATGAATTCGCTGCGAAATATTTTGATCATTTTTCATGGTTTCTAACGTTCTGTAAAATATACCGTTTATCGTTGCCTTGTTCATATTTTTATCTATCCAACCAGCGTAGTGATCATATGACCAATCCTCTGGGGGGAAGATCACGAAGTATATTGCATAAGGAACTTGCCAATTTCGAATTTTTTCGATCACTATTATAAAGAAAACTCTAATAAGTATACTACAAAACAGGTACATAAATTAGCTCCTACACATACAATTTGAAAACTCTAAGTTACGCGTCTTAAGTAATTTCTGTTTAATGATTATTTCATTTGTTTCTTTGACTTGTTTTTGTTCCTTAAAATACTCAATAAGTTGTTCTGTGCCATATTTTTGACTCAGCTCTTCCAAGATGCTTGCTTCTTCTTCTTCTAATGTCTTGGTTGAAATAGAAATTGGTGTAGTTACTGTATACATATTTATTAAAAAATCAAGACGCGTTGAAGCATGACAAAGAATGTTGGAAATTAATTTTAATTGGTGTGAAATTTAAGGGTAGGGGGCACGAGCATTGAAGAAGTTCGTTTTGATTGGTTAATTGTAGATCTCGGATCATAGCTCGGATCATATCTCGGATCATACCT